TAGTAGAGGGAATAGAAAAAAAGGATAAACGGTTGTCTACACCCTCTGAACTATCTTTTTCAATTTTCTTTAATGTTGTCATTTTTTACTTAATCTAAATTAATATTTAAAATACACTTATATACTCAGAAATTTTCTAAACTAAGTTGATCCCTATGGCGGCGGCCTTTTTTCTCTAGACTTTCTTTAATAAGTTTTGGCTTGAGTTTTCTTTTGCCTTTTCCGCATTGCTGGAGCTTTTTCCCAACTTTTTGAAGCCCTTCGCTTCCATGTTGCTTCATTGCCTCACTAACGGATCGACCTTGCGAAACATCTTCAAGGATATTTTTTCCAACATTAACTGCCTCTTGTCCTGCACTTGTAGCTAAATTTTTGACTATTGGCATTAGAAAACGCCCTACAGATCCTAATAAACCAAATCCTCTTTGATAATTCGTTCCTTGAAAATAACGACTTCCTTCTATTAATCTTGAACCTCCATCTTGGGCGGCTAAGAAAGGTTCCCAGTCTATTTTATCTAAATCTATTGGTACATGTGTCATTTTTAAAATAGAGAGCGTTGAAAATGTAGTGTTAGTATACAGGTTCCCCAATGGAATTTTACGAGTTTTCCAGTTAGGGTGCGAATTTCAATAGTAATGTCTGGATGACGTTTACCTTGTAATCGATGATGATGTTCGGTCATATATACTTCGGAAATACTATCACCCGGCTTACCATTTACATTCACAACACGTAATAGAGGAGCAGTTACGTTTCCAATTATACTATTTTCAACAAGCCTTGGAGCGTAAACCAAAAATTGACGAACACCTCCAGAAATATCAGGCATATATTTTGCCACTTGTCCACTATGAACTTTATCAGAATCAAAACCAAGAGTATATGCTAATTGACGACTTAATTGAATATATTGTACGTTTCCTTGTAAGAAGACATGGAACCTCTTATGCAATTTATCAAAGTGTACTGAAACCCATTGATATTTTGGATCAGCTAGTTGTATATTGGAAAAGTTAAGAAGCATTTTTAGATATTCAGGAGGATAGGCATATTTAGCAAAATGCATTTTCTTCAAATTAGGATCCGCATCATCAACGTGTATTTTTAACTTTTCTTTGGTAGGTTCTTTTTCCTTTTGGCCTGAAAGCTCTTTCTGTTTCGTTCTGTCTTCGCTTGACATACCGCCAAGTCCAAAGAAGCTTTTCCATGAGGAAGGACGGTGAGGAGGCTCTCCAATTAACATTTCAGGACGTGGAAGAGAAGGCCGCACCTCTGTATGAATTATTTCATCTACTTTAGGCTGCACAATATTTTCAAGTAAATTTGCGGTTGAAGTCGAAATACTTAGAGGATCTTCTTCTGCCAATGGAGGGGCCCATTGCTCTACTACCTTATCGTTAATTGTTTGAGATTGCTGCTGAGCCTTCTCTTGGTCGTCATCCTCAGTGTCCATTTCGTTAATCATTGGTTTTTCAATATATTCTTCGTCTGGTAATGGCACTTCCCATTGTTCTGCGTCCTCATCGGTTATTGTTTGTGATTCTTTCGGAGTCTCGTCTTCATCAACTTCTTCAATAATTGTTGGTAATTCCTGTTTCTTAATAATATTTTCTTCATCTGGTAATGGGGATGTCCATTGCTCTTCATCCTCGCCAGTTATTATTTTTGACTCATTCGGAGTCAAGTCTTCTACCTCTGTTTTTTCTTCTTGTGATTCATATTCGTTATCCACCTCGATATTTTTCTCGGGTATTGGAGGTGTCCATTGCTCTTCGTTTGTTGGAACTTCATTTTCATCATGCTCCTCAATATTTTCATCGATATTATCTTCTAGTAATTCTTCATTTTCATCTTCAATAGCGGGAGATCCAGGACTTGTTTCTTTGTCCTGTTTCGCAAGTTCCGCGTCAACTTTAACAATAATTTCTTCTGATAAACGTTTTTGCCCCGCAACAGCTTCTTCAACTTGACTGGCTGCTTCCTTTACCTTGCGTTCTGCGGCCTTAGCACGATCTGCAGATTTTCGTGCATCGGTAACATTACCGCGTGTTTCCGCTGCTTTAGCTTCTAGTTGTGCTTCTGAGGCTCTTTTTCCATACTCTAAACATTCCTCTGTCCATTTTTCTATTGCAATTTTACGATTAGTTAACAAAGTTAATTGTGCTTTAACCCAACCAAGAATATTTTCTGGTGTTTTTCTTAATTGCACCGTTTCCCCTGTCTCCTTTAATGTAATCACACTATCTTTAAGCGCATACTTAAAACGAGCATTTTGCCAATACTTTTTACCAAGTTCCATATTTTTTTGTGTTTGCTCTGCTAACTCCACACTACTCCTCCATGCTCTTGTAGCTGCACGAACGGCCATTTCCATTAAAATTTTTTGATCACTTGTTAAAGCGGGTATTCTATCAGGCTCCTCTACATATGAAAGGGGCGTTATTTTTCCATCTAGAGGAGTTTTGTCATTAGATTCAATGTGTTTTTCTTGAGGCGTTGTCTCTGGAGGGGCGTCGATTATAGGACTTGTCACCGGAGTGGGCGAAGCTTCGATTATATGACTAGTCACTCCCGTTTCAGGAGTGATTGGAGCCTTTAAAATGGTAGGTGAAGGCTTTTTAGTTTCTTCAATTTCGTTAGAATTTTCTTTATCATTTTCGACAATACTCCCTTCTTCAGATGGTACAGAATATGTTGCTTCAGTTTGTTGAATCGGTTCAGGCACGATTGGAGAATTGGACATAAAGCTTTTAATTGCATTCATTATTAGATCTTTCTGATCTGTCTGTGGCTCTAATCTGACCGTCTCAACATCGCTTCCCGCAACCGACGATACATTTGGAAGTTTTGCACCCTTAATTTCAGTATTTAAATATTTTATAAATTTATAAGCACGGTCCTTTTGCATATCAAAATAACCTTCCTTTTGCAATTGTTGAGTGATAGACGCTAGCGAGAAATTAAACTGATGTTTCTCATGCTCAGAAGCAGGCAATTCTGTTTGTGGAGTTGATTCAGGGGTTATTTCTTGACTATTGGCAGATGCATTTTTCTCTTCAGTTTGATCAACCTTCGATGGATTCATAAATTTATTAATAGCCTGCTTGATTCGCTCCATTTGATCGGTATACGGACGAAACCGAACCCTTTCTATACCATCGACTTCAAGAGGAGCAGGGCTTATAGGAGGTAATCGAATTCCTTCTTTGCCTAAATATTTCATAAAATTAAAAGAGGTTTGCTTTTGCATATCGAAATAGCCATTCTTAGCCAATTGCTCAGTAGGTTCTAATTGAATAGTTTGCTGAATAAATTTATCAATAACTTTTAAGTAAAGAAATTTTTGATTTACAGGGGGCAAAAGACGAATATTTCTATCTCCTTCACTTGGACTCAAATTTGTAAGTTTCGGACTAATTGCATCATCCTCTTCTGATAATAGCTTGATAAATTTATTTAGTTCATCTTTATTCAAATCGAAATAACCATGTTTATCATATTGTTCTTTTATAGAGTTGACGGAACGCCTTTTACGATATTCCCCATAGATTCTTTTTTTATTCTCTTCAAGTCTCTTTTCCTCTCGTTCGCGATCCAATTCCTTTTTCCATACATCAAGCAAAACTGCATTAATGGACTCTTCCAATGCCTCTTCTGAGGCATAGGACAAATCTGGTATCTCGATACGAATAGGATAAAGTTCATTTCCATATCTTCGAAAAACAGTTATAAATTCTTGTTCTTCAGAATCGCCAAGTAGTGAAAAGGAAAACGGATATATAATATTTGATAGTGCAACCGTCCAGCTTGAATCCAATTCAAGAGTATCAGGCATTCTAACAGTAAATTTAGAAGTGGTATTTCCTTCAACGCCTCCTGTATTTGAGGGCAATATTACATAAAACGAGTCCATATTTATCTTCTAACAATATCACTATCGTTAACCCAACTATTAAAATTATCGTTGTATCCAATCCAACGAACAAAATGTTGTTTATGACCAGCACGTGTACGTGTTTTTAAAATTTCTGCAATACGGTGAGTAGTATCTTCTTGTGTGGGCACTAATTCTTCTCTATAAAATATTCCTTCAATTAAATTTCCTTCAAAATCTATTAATTTATATGTTATGGGTGATCTATTGTCGTTCTTGATGTGCACGCGAAATAATTCGTCAGTGTAGTTGGGCAAATATCCCTTTTCGAATTTACCTTTTTCTTTTGTGATACGAACAATTTGTCCTGGCTCCAGTATTGAGCTTGATTTAGTATTTTGCAAAATTTTAGGCTCCTTATATAGTCTATTAAATAGTTCCCCAGCGTTTTTAAACGTAACAGAATTTGGGGTTACCCCCGTGATTCGATTAATACTTGCATTTATTCCTGTAACAATTTTTTGAATAACATCCTTCCAACGCAAAGTGTTCTTTTCGCTAAAGTATCGATACAATCTTTCTTTAATTGTACGATTGGCCCTTTCTGCCATAGAAGCATGAACATCGGGACTATAAACTACTCGCTTATCTATATCCTTCTTTTTAAAATATTCTTTCATTCGTTTCGCCTCAAATTCTAACCCACGATCCGTATATAATTTATGAGGAAGTATCCCTTTTGAAAGTTTAAAAATATTTTCGAAAGCATCAATCATATCTTCGGTTCTTTTAGATTTGGCAGGCACCGCATAAAGTTTTCTACTTAGTACATCAATACATACCAAAAGATACCTATACCCATCATTGTGTTCAGTTAATTGATCAAATATGGCTAAATCCGCTTGCCAATCTGTGTGAAGGCCACTTGGCCTAGTGGCTATCCTGGGAAACTTTTTTCTTAAAGGTCTGTGCATTGTATACACCCTTTGCTTATGCAGAAAATCGTAAACATCTTTAAATTTTATTTTAGGATATTTACGGCGAGCCTCTTCATAGACGCGATTTATTCCTCCATATGAAGCGGGAGAATTAAGGGAATAATAAATTTTTTCTAAGAAGGTATCTAAAGTTTTTCCCATATTTTTGGAATAAATATTTGTTTTTGTCTTACTGATCTTGTAAATTTAACTTTCCTTCTGTCTAATCGTGGTGAATTTATAGGCAGGACTTTAACTAGAACTCTTTTTATTCTCTTACCGCTGCCTGATTGATTTTCGGAACTCTCGTCTGTAGTACTTTCTCCCCGTGTCTCTCTAATCATTTCTTTCACTAATGGATCCTTAGAAAGACGATTAAATAAAAAACTGAAACCTTTAGGAGGTGAAGATATTTCACCCTTTACATATTCGAGAACATCTGTGAAATTGCTGTTCTTTACAATTGTTCCTGGAACATTTGATTCAAAACTCCCGTTCTTGCGTATTCTAAACTTTTCAGCATTATCTTTCACATAATTTTCCAATTCATTAGAATAGCGCTTTGCAATAATCCCTTTAAAAGGGGTGGAAAATTTATTTCTAGAGATTTTTGTTCTAGAAGTTGATGCCTCTAAAAAAGTATTAGGTTCTATGTTTGATCGTGGTTCTTCTTGCTCATCGTTTATTACTTTAGGTTTGTGCGTAGAAGATATTGATTCTTGCAGGTAAGGTGCAACTTCTAATGTTTTACCATCGTCGATAATTACCCTTTGAGGACGATTTTCCAACTCGTGTTTGAGTTGACGACGTTTTTTATATAACCAATTATATTTCTTTGCTTTTACATCTTCAGAAATTTTTGGATCATTCAATGTCATTGTAATTTCTGCATCCGTCTGTGCCTTCTCCCTTTGTAAAAAGTCTTCACCTTTAATCATAGACAGAAGTGTATGATATTCGCTCTCAGGCACCATAATCATTTTCTTTGTATGTTTCATTCTTGAGTAAATTTATTAACTATATGTTCCGCTAATGCACCTAGAATGGGTACTAAAATTGCTGCTAGAGCAGCGCTACCTCCTTGTTGGATTCGATTTCTTGCCCCCTTTTCAGTACGAGTTCGAGCGATGGCTCTATAGAAGTCAGCAAATTGAGCTAATTTCTACGCTGTCTCGTACTCAGGATGAAATTGTGCTTCAAAATATTAGCACAAATTTCTACAATGGCTAAGATTTGATCTGCAGTTGCTGAAAGGATCAAAGCGTTTTTCTTTTTCTCTGAAGTAGTTTTTGCTAATTGTTGGAGAAAATCAAAATTTTCCTTAACGTATGGACTATAGTTATATGAGGACATTTTTATATTGGTAAATTTTTCGAGTACTTATATATTACAGCGGCAAATATATAGTAGTATTTTCTCCGGGAAAAATTTTCGTAGATAGTCGCATATTTTCATCCGTGTTCGGATGCATGTTTATTAATAAATAGGAAAAACTTTCGGATGTAGCATCGCGATAGGCTTCAAGAAAATAATTAAGCATTTTAGGAAATAGCTGCGATCCTAGCGTTCGCACTTGAAGAAGGCCTTGAGGGTTTTTTGTTAAAAGTATGTAATGGGCATTTGTTCTTGCGGTCTTTATATCACGGCCGTATAGGGATTGAGTTACAAAAATCACACTTACTCCCCAATTATGTGAACCTCGAGTAAAAAGTAGATCTAAGAAATCACTTGGAATATTAAGCATTAAATCGTCTAACACCAAAAGCTGATGTTTTTTAATTAATTCAGAATCAGGAACTCCGTTATAAGTAGTAATTCCCATTTCCTTAAGCTTGAAAACAGTTTCATTCATTTCTCCAAAACAATATAATATTTTTGAAGGAGAAGGATCTATGAGCTTGTCTGTATGTGACAGAAATTTTAGAAGCCATTGGGTTTTGCCACTTCCTGTGGCACCCGAAATTATCATCGTAAATGGTGCGCTAAACATTTTATATAGATGTTTTATATAGGGGTTTCTATAGGGCTGCTTTATATAGGGTTCTCCGCCCGTTGGGTTACTCGTATAATTTTTATTTAAATAAGATTTAAAATATTTTTTCTTCAAAAATCAATTATTTGAAAAATTATTTTTGTTTAAAATATTTATTCTTCAACATAAAATTTTATTTAAAAATTATTTATTCATTCAAAATTTTTGTTAGTTTTTCTTTAGTTTTTACGAATTTTTAAATTATTTTTCATTAAAATATTTTTTCTTCAAAAATTAATTATTTCATTTTTTTAAATTTATTATTTTTTTAAAAAAATTTTTAATTTTATTTCTTCCAAAAATTAAATTATTTTTCATTAAAATATTTTTTTCAGAAATTAATTATTTCATTTTTTAAATTTATTATTTTTTCAAAAATTTTTTAATTTTATTTCTTCCAAAAATTAAATTATTTTTCATTAAAATATTTTTTTTCAGAAATTAATTATTTCATTTTTTAAATTTATTATTTTTTTCACAAAATTTTTAATTTTATTTCTTCCAAAAATTAAATTATTTTTCATTAAAATATTTTTTTCAAAAATTCATTATTTTATTTTTAAAAATTTTTTATAAATTTCTTCCAAAAATTAATTGCTTGTATAAATATTGTTGTTTAAAAGCAAAATATTATTTTTGTTTAAAAGGGGTAATACATATCTTCTATTTATATTAAAATTAAAACTTATTTGTAATAACGATCATACCACGCTGCAAATGTCCTAACCCGTCCGATCTGGCAAGTTAAGCAACGCTGATAAAATTGTTATTTTTAAATCCCTCTTAAACCTTTAGATTTGACATGCAACACCAAAATTTTTAAATACATAGTATTCAAAATAACTGCTAGAGCCTGAAGATCTCAAGCGGGTTGTTTTAAAACGTTTTTTGAAAAATACGAAAAAACTTTCTAAGTATATCTTTTGGTTGTCAGAATAGTGCGGAAATATATCAAAATGAAATTTTGAAAAAATTATTTATTTAAAAATAGTAATTTTAAGCGGCTTTTAAGACAAACTTGTTTGTCTTAAAAGTCGATTATAGACTACTATCGCATGGCCTATATTTGCGCTAGAGGACTGACTTAATGGAATTATAAATTCTGATTACAATTCAAGATCTTGTAATGATATTATAAATTAAAAACTAACATTTTCTTTCCTTTATCATTAAAAATATGAATTTTTCTTGAATGCAGTATTTTCTTTACCGTTAATTTATTCATTTTAAAATATGTTTCTAATGTTTTTGCGGAAATATTTCCATATAAATGAAATACACAAAATCCTTGAATTAATGTTTCCTAAATTAAAAAAATTACTAAAGATAAACTCGAAGAGTAGGATCGGAAGTTCCAAATAACAGGTAGACTAATTCAGACCTTGTCACGGATACTGATCTTGGTATCCGTATCCGCATATTACGGCGGATACAGACGGATACAGGCGGATATCCGCATGCATTTTGATATTATCTGTATCCATATCCGTATCCATGGGCAGGTCTGGACTAATTGTTATAGATTAAAGTTTCCTCATTTGCCAGATTTTGCGAGATTTTTTTTTATCAATTATGAGATTATTTGAAAAACAACTATTATCAAAATACCTCAATTTCCTTTTTTGATTTACGATTTTCCATGTAACGGTCATATGCCTGTTTAAATTTAAAATTATCTTCCTTAAAATTATCAAGAATTTTATTTTGTGTATCGGCATCTAAACAAAATTCTCTTTTTATTTCTATTTCGTTTCCAAATATTTTATTTTGGCATTTTTTAATTGGATCCGATTTGCTCTTTGCCCATCTATGTTGACGACTAGTAGAAGTTCCTTCGATCATTACATTATTCATTTTGTTTAAATATCTTTGTTTTTTTCTTCCCTTTATTGAAATTTAGGATTATTATTGCGGATACCAAAAAATTTTTGAGATTTCCAAACATAGAATTTTCCAGCAGCTTTAGTATAGTAAGTCTGAATACTGTTAAACCACAGAATTCACGCAATCAGTGAATTAAGGCCGGTATAAATCTCAAATATACTTTGCCCATCAACCATTAGAGGAGCCTCTAATTTGAGACACTCTAATTTCAGGGTCTCAAAGTTTTTGATGTTTGAAGGCTAAGAAGCCAGATATTCTTCATTTTCAGGATTCGAACCTCGCTCCTTCAAATATAAAAATGTGTAAGTCACTAAATCTAACCACTCAAACATCGCTCAAAAATATGTAGCTCTCTTCGAGAAAAATTTAAATATATTTTTCTATTCTCCCTTTCCTTTTTTATTTTTTCCTTTCAAAAATAAAATTTTATCAGGAAAATCTATTTTTGGTATGTAAAAATTTGCCGACTTAGTCGGGAACTGATACCGGGAGTCCGATCGGGAGGCCAAAAACTCGGGAAATTTTCCCGTGTCGGGAGTCTGGAACGGGATACCCGACCATCACTAGCCTATAAATCGTTTATTATAGGTAAGTTCTCGTCCTATGTTTCCCCACTTGGTGCGATTCACCATACTCATAATTGAAACATGCGCGACTCTCATATAGAACCGTTACCACAACGAAACAAATAGAACTAAAAAAATTTTGCCGATCCTAAATCTGTCCCTATATTTCTATAAAAAATAATTGCATAGTTGTACATTTATATTCCGCTCAACATCCATTAATATGTCGGCTGCTATAGGGTGAATAATAGGAGGATATCACAGAAAATTAAAAATATATTGTGATACCTTCAATATATCAGAATCTTCTGATCCTTCAGGATTATATTCTTCTTCAGAAGAATCATTTGCAGTAACAGAATATAGTAAATAAAGAATTAAATTTAATAAAAGCAAATTAAATTTATTTCTTAACATCTCTTTAAAAATTAATTTTTAAAAAATACTTTATTTAAAAATTTTAAACTTTTTTAATATTTTTAAATTTTAAATTGCCAAAAATAAATAATTATACGGCAGACCAAGGTATATACCAGCCCTGCTAAATAATTCATTAAATTACTTAAGGTTAAAATTTAAGAAGTGGACTCGTGGATAGAGAGGCAAAGGTTTATACTCAATCCTTTGAAAATGCCAATAAGTAAAAAGTACAACGCTAAATAGTTTCGAAATTTCGATTCCTAAAAACCTCTACTAAAAATTTGAAAAGGATGTTTGATTTCGAAACTTCGAAAAAAGTATTCTCCATAATTCTCTTCTCCATTCTCCATAAATCCTTGTATTTTCTAAACTGTTTCCTTTGTGTTTGTTTGAAATCTCATTGGAATTGGACTTTATTAATTAAAAATCTTTAGTATTGTAATTAGACTTTAAAAACA